GCTTTGTTGAAGATTAGTTCACTATAGAGTTGAGGGTCCATTTCTGGGCTCTCTCTTCTGTTCCATTGTTCTATGTGTCTGTTTTTGTGCCAGGACCATACTGTCTTGATGATCACAGCTTTGTAATAGAGCTTGAAGTCTGGAATTGTGATGCCACCAATTTTGCTTTTCTTTTTCAGGATTACTTGGCTATTTGAGATCTTCTGTTGTTCCCTACAGGTGTTCAGAATGTTTGTTCCAGCTCTGAGAAAAATACTGTTGGCATCCTGTTGTGGCTTACAGGAAATGTGTAGGTTGCTTTGGGCAGTATAGACATTTTAATACTTGTTCTCCCAATCCATGAGCATGGAATGTCTTTCCATTTCTTTGTGTCCTCTTCAAATGCTTTTTTAAAAACTGACTGTTTGTAGTTGATTCTTTTGAATATAAATCCAGATCCAGACAAGGTGCATCCATCGCTTTGGTGGTTCTCTCTCTTGATCTTGACAAGAGCCCCACATCCCTTTCCCCTGCTCTCGTCTGGTGAAGAGACCAGGGTGTCTGGATGTCCCACAATGTCCCATGCTGATTGCTTCCTCATGATGTCATTTAATTTGTTCCTGCATCTCTTTAATTGCCCAGAGACGGGCAGGAATTTACATCAGTTTTTGATTTTGTGTGTTTTCTCGGATCATGTGTGTGTGTGTGTTTGTCTGTGTGTGTGTGTCTGTGTCAGTGGTGCCTGGATGTTGCTCGGTACTTCCCATTGCATCTAACAAGGAGACGCTGGAGGCCCAGCTGCTCTTTTGGTGATGTTCGGTCTGCCCCCGAGTCTGGAAAGTGACGGCCTGTAAGGCCAGGGGGACAGTATTTATACCTCCCTGAGTCTTCGTTTCCTGACCCATATGAAAGGAGACAATGCCTCCTTCCCAAGGAGATTCTCATGGTTACAGCTATGAGTGCATGTCCAGACAGCAGGCTACCATGTAGACATTAGGGCTAAGTAATAATTACGGGCCCTCCAGCAATGAAAATTTTCTTTGAAAAAGTCTTTTCCTTCCTCAGATACCTTTAACTGAGAACACGGTAAGGTTCTTTTTATTGAGGGGGAAAAAAAAAAGCTTCCAGTACATTTATGGCGACTGAAAACTGCCTGTTTTTTCACCAATCCACAGAGCAAAGGAGTGATTAACTCCTCGTGGATTCCGGCACTTGAAGCCAAGAGAAAGATTAGTGACGGCCGCGTGGAGCGGAGGTTTGTTTAATAGCCTGACTGGGAAAGACCAAGTTTCCTTCAGCTTCTAGATCAGAGGAGCAAGAGGCATCCCTGAAGGGGAGGAAAAAAGCTATTGAAACTTTTATGGGATGGTTTCCTTTCTCAAAAGAATCTTCTACATCCCAGCCCCTCAGAGGAGCCTCTCAGACCCCTCCTTTCTGAGGACCAGGAGGAGCATCTTCTAAAGGGATTTTGCTTACGGATTGTCAGGGACAGACCTGCCCTTTACATTTTACCAGTTCTCAGCAAGCTTCAAGTTCAGAGACTTGTGAAGGAGCAAATCCTTCCCTTCCACTAACCACTTTTTTTTTCTTTTTTCAGTACAAATCAGAGTGCCCATGAGATGGATCGGGTTCATTTGTATTAGTTTTCAGTTTAATCTCTCTTCCTGCCAGACCTTTTATCTTCTATGAGGGAGAGGGAAGAGAATAAATAAAGAGTTTTATTTGGACGCATCCGGAGGACTGAGCCGAGCCCCCGGATACAGGGCAGATTAATAGGCCCTGTTGTGGAGTCAGACTGGGGCTGGGCCTCAGATCTGCTGGCTCGCTGCTGCTCGATAGGGTTCCACACTAGGAGGGGCTGCTTACACTCTGAGCTGAATCTGGGAGGGAGGGAAGGAGAGGGGTCGTGGGGCACTCTATGCCCCCTCTGTGCTGACACACATGGGCTCCGTCAGTGGACTTGGCCACCATCCTTTTGAGTTTGCTTCTTTCTGACCTTGGACCCTGTAGGTAACTGAGCAGGTAAGCTGTTTGCTTACAGACACTGGGGGCTGCAGGAAGAGAGGGACAGAGGTGAGTTTTATTGAACACTGCCTCAGTCAGGGTCCCCACAAAAAGCAGGTGGCTGTCTTGACTTAGAACATCTAAGCAGAGAGTCTGCAAAGGGAAGATCTGCCCAGGGTCGGGTGGAGAGAGACACCAGGACCCTGGGGCCAGAGCTGGCTAACTCAGGACACAGAGGGAAGGGAGACGCAGAGTCCAGAGAGGGAGGTGGTGTAGACCTTCCCAAATAGAGCATGAACCTCTGGGTGAGGAATGCGATAGTCTTGGGTCATCTCCCAGTGAGTAAGAAAGAGTCCAGCCCTGCCAGGCAGGTCATCCAGGGCCCAGATTGGGGCAGGGTGGTAAGGAGGAACAGGGGTAATAGGAGGGGGACGGGCCCATCCAGCTCCAGTACCCACCGGGGCCTGGATCTGCACAGGATAAGTCCGCACGTGTCTCTTAGTTCAGACCAATACCAATCTTGGGAGTGATGTGTTATTTCCCCATTTTTTCTTCCACATTGAAAAAAGAAATGTTTCGTTGTGGTAATACACACCATAACATAAAATTTTACCATCTTAGCCACTTTTAAATGTCCAGTTGAGTGGTCAGTACATTCACATCGTGCCACCCATCTCTTATCCTCATCTGGCAAAACTGAAGCTGTGGATCCATTAAATGTGACTCCCTGTCTTCCCCCCCACAACCTCCACCCTGGCAGCTGCCACTCGCCTCTGCGTCTGCGGATCTGACCCCTCCAGGGACCTCTCATCAGTGGAATCCTACACTACCCGTCTTCTTGTGACTGCCCTATTTTCCAGGTTTATCCCTGTTGGAGTGTGTGTCAATTTCTTGTTCAAAGCTGAATAATATTTCATTGCAGGGATGGACCACATTTTGTTCATCTGTCCATCCATCAGTGGACACTCGGGTTCATAACTAATATCTCTTCGTGACCCTCCTTTCAGTTCGTCGGGGTGTATATTTTGACGTAGAATTTCCGGATCATACGGTAGTTCTACCTTTAGTTTCCTGAGGAGCTGCCATACTGTTTTCTGCAGCGGCGGCCCCATTTCACATCCCCACCAGCAGGGCACGAATGTTCCAGCTTCTCTCCCCGTCTAGCCCACACATGCCATTTCTGCTTTCTTTAGAGTAGCCATCCTGTGGTTGTGATGTGGATCTCCCTGTGGTTTTGACTTGCCCCTCCTCCCCCCTGCTTTATAGAAGAAGCTCAAACAAAAGTGAACAACTGTCGATGGAAACACGTAGTCGGCTGTGACAGCTCTGCACTGGCTGCCTTCTGGAGGGAAGCTGTGTCTCCACTGCTGTGTGGCTTGGCAGGGAGAGGCGCTGCTCCCCACCAGCAGTTACAGGGGTGCGAGGGAAGGTTCTTGCGTTGTCCATGTGTACAAATGGCTAGGGGAGCCTGCTTGGCAGACCAGAGCACCATGAGATGTTTAATGCTTCTAGAAGGGTCTCAGACTCCCAAAGCGAGAAGAGAAATCAGTGTGAGCAATTCTGTAGTTCCCTGGGGATGCACACGTTGCACTCTGAAGGAAACAGAAAGAGCGGGGGGGTCCTCATCCAATGTAGATTACCTAGATCACTGAGAATCAAAAGCCAAGTACACTGAAATGCCCAGCTGGTACTAAGGACTGCATTCCCAGAAAGCCATTTGTGGAGGCAGCTTTATTCGAAATAATTAAGAAGATTCAGCCTTTGTAGCCCAACTGGCATCCCGCTCCAGAGCGGCATAACTTTTTGTCGAGGAATCCGGCTCCCAAACTCCAGCTCCGTGGTAGACAGCTGGCTGTGAGAGCCAACGCAAGTTGCCCTTGAGTCTCATTTCATTTCGGAGTGGCTTGTGGCTCTTTCTTGGTGACTCCTAAGGGAGCGGCATGTGTTCCCAATGAGCTCCCGGCACAGACCTGTGATCCTCATAGTTAGGTCTGTAGGTTTTTGCTGAAGAGGTGTTGATTGTACGTGTGGAGGGCGCCCGCGGCTGGCAGCAGCATGGAAATCATGGCTCTCCTCTCTCTGACCATCTCCAGTGTGGGGGAGAGGGATTTGGGCACCACTTCCAAGGAAGGGGACAGACGGTTTGATTTCCACAAGAGCCCCCTTCCCCCAATTTCACTTCACTGATAACTTGCAAATGCAGCTCAGGCATCATGACGATTCCAAATGAGAAGTGACAGTGGGTGTTCAAAGTCATTGCCAGGTCCTGTTCATTCCAGGGCATCATTCTACGAGATGATCGGGCCAGAAAGCATGTTTCAACTCTGCACCAAAAGAAAAAAAAATAAAATCTCGCAAAGATGTGGGAGCCCAGCAGAATCCTCTGAAGCCTTGCAGGCGAGAGCCCATTTGGCTGACAGAGTCGCTCTTGCACACCTGCCGGAAAGCTGGGTGCAAAGATACTCTAAACTAGCTGCGAATTTCATTACGTCTGTCTCCAGCCAAAGCCACTGAGGGGTGCGGTGCTGTAATGGGCCGCCACGCAGATGGGTTGCAAAATGCACAGCCCATCTGTCTTTATCATGCTCATTTCCTCTTTTATTAAAATGTTAATGAATATAGTTTTTATTTATCATTTGGTGACATGTGCGGCATCCTTTTCTGGGAGACAAATCTGCAGTCTGCCTCACCGTGTGCGCTGACAGGGAACGCAGGAATGAGGAATATTTTGGTTCCGTTCAAACTGCCATATGTGTGTTGAAGGAGAAGCTACTTCGCTTGTCGACAGCAGCATGAGGACGACAGGAGGTCTCGGAGTTCAATGCCAGGCCCAGTGGCTACCAGCGGCTAGCCATGTGGCCACGAGCCTTGGTTTCCACTTCTGGGGAACAGGGATAACCATTCCCTCCGCCCTGGAAACGAAATGAGAGAACTTATGGAAATGTAGTTTGCATTCTCTTATTATTATTCAGATGTGTGCCTGTGTGGTTCTGAATTCCTTTTGCTCATTCTTTCAGACTCTCCATGGAAAGTACATCTGTCAAATGTCGGCCCCGAGATGACAGGTGTCACCGTGCGCGGCCTGACTCCAGCTCGCACCTATCAATTCCGGGTGTGTGCCGTGAATCAAGTGGGCAAAGGCCAGTACAGCGCAGAGACAGGCAGGTGTGTGATTGCGCAGCCACGGTGGGCTCTCGGGGCAGCTGGGACCCGAAAGCAAGGCTGAGCATCCAGTTAACAAGAAGTCATTGATAAAAGGAGTCAGCCTGCATCCCTTAGTGATATCGGCCACACATGCACAGAAAAGACCAGAAGGAAGAGAGAAAGGGAGTCACTCGTGTGTTGGACTAGCTGGGTTTTCCTTCAATGCTCAGAGGGAAATGTCTCCAACTTCCCTAATGCTCTGGCCACACCAATACAAGGCGTTTCTGAGAGCACAGGCCTTGGTATCCACGAGATGAGGCGCTGACCATGTCTTCACTCCCTCTGTCCTCCCGGGCTGCCGGCGGGACGGGAGCTGGTGCCACCATGCTGACAAGCAAGCATCTGGCAGGGCACGGCACGTTCCTGAATGGTCCTGACCTGGGACCATGGCTTCACCCCATTTCAGTGTGCCCACCCCAACCAACCTGAGCATCGTTGGGGCCCGAATCATAGGAGAGTTGAGATCTAAGTGACTTTTTTCAAAATGTGCGAGTTCGGTATGAGAAATACTAAAAGAGCTAAGGAAAAACACAATTTGGAAGGCATCTCAGGCTGTGGGCCGGCAGCCCGGCTCGCTCAGGCTTGTAATCCCCTCCCGGAGTGGAGATGCTGTGGGTTATCCAGACAGAATAAGGTCACCTCCTGTGTCTTCTTGCTTGCTGGCCGAACTGATTCTCTATTATGTTGATTCGCTGTACCTATTTCATGCATGTCCTCTGAGTTTGATCAGCTGTGTGCCTTGCTTTGTTCATCGCTTGATTTTGGTAAATAGTTAAGCTCCAGATTCAACCAGACAGAGAATGCAAATGGGGACCGTTCGTCTCGGATGCTAATCTCTTTCGCTCACCATATTTTATCTCTAGGTTGATGTTACCTGAAGAGCCGCCCAGTGCTCCCCCAAAGAATATCGTAGCCAGCGGGCGTACCAATCAGTCCATCATGGTCCAGTGGCAGCCGCCCCCAGAAACAGAGCACAATGGGGTGCTGCGTGGGTACATCCTCAGGCAAGTAGCTGGTGTTTGGCCACTTTTAGGTTCTCATTATAAAGAGTCCAGGGTCTGTTTTGCTGGGGTCGCAAACTGAAAGGTCTAAAGGATCCCAACAGTAATCAAGAGACTCAGGCTGATGTCAGACTTTAGGGAGTGGTGGGGACTATGGCCAACAAGCAACTGTGGGTTGCTTGGGTTGCAGGGGCAGCCTCTGTATATCCAACCATAGCATAACCGCATACATATCAAAGCTTGCATCTTGGTAGAAGAATGAAGGAAGATATTACGTGTTGGGGTGAAGGTGTGCTATTCATTCCAAATTTTTTTCTTTCTGTTTCAGTTTTTTCCAGGGGCATGCATTATTAATAGAATAATTTTTATTAATAATAATGCAGTTGACATTATCACAATTGACCAGTTGCTACCGGGCTAGCTTTTACATGTTCAGTATTGCCAGGTTTCCTAGTGTATTCAGAGAAATTTTTAAAAATCTAGCTTTTTACATGCGATCTCACAGTTTCTAAACATTGGAAATGAAGTCTATATGTTTTGAAACATGGGGCAGGCCAAATTCACACCTCCACAGGCCAGATGTGGCCCAAAGCATGGCCACTTTGCTTTCCCTGACTTATATGAGGAAGTCAGGCTTCTGAGAATGTTGAGGAGATTCTACAAGAACTTGGCTGGGTGGGAGAGAAGAAATCTGTTTTGTCAAAACTGCTAATCTTGAAATCACGCCAAATGTGGGAATTGCAGTGGTTTGTTGATGCAAGTAGTGAACAGGAAAAAATAAAGCAGTGTTAAAAGGTATTTACGAAATCTCTTCTAACAGACGGTACAGCCACAGACAGACATATTCGTTCCACGACCTGCACTTTGCGTCCCTCCCCAGCCTTATGGGGCAAGAACCGTGGGTGTCCATCACTACCCTCCCCCCAGCATCAGGCCCGTGCCCTCGTGAGCTTGTGATCAGCAAATACTGGGTTAACAGAGGTCGAAAGGGGCTAAACGTAATGTCTTAGGAAAACATAAGAAGTTACAAAAGTGTAGCTGCTCTAGCTCTGTGCTATTTGCATATGGAGGACCGCTTCTTCCAGGATCTATTGATGTAATCATCTGCTCATGGTTTAACATACCTTTATCCATACACATGACATATTAGCCCATCACAACCACTTCACTGCTCTTCTCAAGTCTTCCTCAAGCATGTGAATTATCCTCTAAACACAAGCTAGATCATTATCTACATGAAGTGGTTTAAAGTTGGCTGTCCCGCAGGGTTCACGGGGACTAGAGGACTGGAATCAGCACTTGGGGACCCTTTGGTCACTCTTCCCCTTTCAACAAGAAACTCTGAAAGGGGCCTTCGGGCAGGGGGCACCTGTGGGCTTGGGGCAGTTCCCAGTTCCCTCCCAAAAACAGGCTGGGGCTTCCCACACACAGAGGCCCAGATCTCCTGTCCATTCCAGCTGTCACTCATGGCCTGTGCTCATCAGGTAATGAAAATAATTTCCTTGCCCTCCCCACCTGGCCCTACACACGATTGTCATCCCAGCTGCCTCCATCTCGAATGCACAGAGAAGGGTCCTCAGGCTCCAGCTGCCAAGGGAGGACTTTAAAAGTCAACCTGCAGAACCAACCTTGGGGCGAGGACTTTAATAAGAAAATCTTTCTGATGTTACAAGGCCCTATCAGGAACTGCACGTTTCTCTATTTTGCAGGATTACCACCATTAAAAGGATCTTGTGTGATGGTGTCAGTGGAGTTGAGTGCTGGGAAAGAGGGCATCTGTATTTGTAGGGGTTTAAATCAAGAAAGTCCTAAAATGAGGGTGTACGACCCAAGGCCTGCGAATAGCAAAGTTTCCAGAAATTAAAGGCCCATGCCAAAATGCATTTACTTGGAAACATTTCCAAATAATCCTCCGGTCTGCAAATCAGCTCTGTTTGCAACTGTGAGCCCTCCAGGGCTCAAGTGTCTGTGTCAGACATATAGCCGAATCCATGGAGGCACAAAATGGAAATAAATCACCACCGTGGCTCCGGCCGTAAGAAGTGGTTAGGATGTGTGTGCAGTAATAAAATATTTATAATAATGGGCAGGGTGCTTCTTTGAGAGGAGCATAGGGGTTATGTCCTTTAAAAACATTCTCCTGTTTATTTCCATATAAAAAAAAATCATCTTGTTCTGCCTGAGACGGTCTCCCGGGCAACGTATCCCACCAGTCAGAGGACAATGCCCTGCACTTTCATTATTAATTGTGACCTTCCCAGACATCCTGTGACTATTACAAAAGCACCCTGAGCCACGGGTCAGAATGGACCAACCTGCCTGCCGCGGAAAGGAGGGCAGCCCGCTTCCAAGACACGAATCCCGCGGCTTGTTCGGCACGATCGTATGAACAGGCATCTAGGAGAGGCTATGGCTCATGCAGGCTTCAGTGTCTTTGCTTAGCATACTTTCTGGACGCGTGGCGTTTCCAAACCAGCAGTATCTGCAGTGGGCTCTGCACTGTCACAGCTCTCCAGCACCCACATCGTTTCATCTTATCCTTGAGACAGCCCTGTGAAAGGCCATTATGATGATGTCATTTTCAGGAGTTAAAATCCAAGGTCAGAGACGTGACGTTAAGACCACGCTCAAGGCCACCCAGCACGTCTGTCTTCTTCCCAGCCTGTGCCTTCTGGAGCTGACTTCTTTGCTTTTCCCTGGAAGGCATATTGTGTCATGATGGGTCCGCACTAATGAGCTCTCTGTAAGCGATAGTGCCCAGTGTGTGCCGTATTGGTTGTAAGTGGTCCTGGTCACCATTCACACACCGGGCCACTCTGGGTGGGGGCCGACCCTTGCCTTCTCCCAAATGGCTGATTGTCTCCGTGTTATTTATTTTGTAGACAGGGAATTTAAGTGGGCATATCTGGCATGTGGCTTATTCAATGCCAGGCCTCTCTCTCTGTGGACCTCAGCCTTGATGACCATGACGTCCTACAGACGAACCTAACCCCCCACTAGGAAGCTCGCCTACACCTGCTTGGCACAGGCAGTTGAGTAGGCGACAGAAGTGGATGGAATCTGAAGCAAAAATGCAGGGTGAGGCATCAGCTTCCACTTTTGCCCATCACGGAGGAGCACGGCCGTCCCTGCACCTCCGGCCCTCCAGCCAGCGCTCTCGGGCAGGAGGGGGCAGGAGGACGCCTGGAACCTTCTTGCTGTTCCAGTGCTGCCTGATCTTGCTCCTGTATCTTCCCACCACACGGGCCTCACCTATACAAATGGTTTGTAGCAAGAGGAGCTGAAAGACTGCCCTCAGAAAATCCGGACGTTCACGAAGAACCTTTTACTGCCTTCTCCAGACTTCCGTGCTGTATTTTTAGCTGTCATTCTCTTCGGAGAGCTGTTGTCTGTGGAAGGGCCTGAATACGGGGGGGGGTTCTTCCTTTTCCTGACAGCAGCAGCCTGGCACGGCCTTCTCCTTTGTGCCCAGGCGCTTTGCCTGGGACAGCGCAGGGACCAGAGAGACACTGCAGGCCTCGGGGGAGCTCCGTGTCAGTGCAGAGCCAGACCCCAACCTGCTGTCAAGAGCCCTCGCTCAAGGGCGCCCCTGTCTTCACCCTTGCCCCCCTCATCAGATGAAGCCGTGTCTTCCCGAGGCAGGAGCCGCCGCTTGGACAGGATTTGGGGTGTTCCTGAAGCCTCAGTATGACCAAGGCAGGTTTTCCCAGGATAGGTCTTCCCAGCACATGCCCCGCCTGGCGCTCGACCCCGGGGAACCAATCCACTTCTACAAACAAAATCAGGAAAAACATTTGCTCTGCCCAATAATGCTGCCAAAGCCCTTTCATAGTACACAAGGCAATTTCCTAATTGATACATTTTCTAAGTCCAGGGTCATGTATGTCACTTTATTTTTTTTATTTTTTTTTATAACCATATAATGCATTTTTAGCCCCACGGGTACAGGTGTGTGAATCGCCAGGTTTACACACTTCACAGCACTCACCATAGCACATACCCTCCCCAGTGTCCATAACCCCACCCCCCTCTTCTGACCCCCCTCCCCCCAGCAACCCTCAGTTTGTTTTGTGAGATTAAGAGTCTCTTATGGTTTGTCTCCCTCCCAATCCCATCTTATTTCATGTATTCTTTTTCTACCCCCCAAACCCTCCACATTGCATCTCCACTTCCTCATATCAGGGAGATCATATGATAGTTGTCTTTCTCCGATTGACTTATTTCACTAAGCATGATACCCTCTAGTTCCATCCACATCATCACAAATGGCAAGATTTCATTTCTTTTGGTGGCTGCATAGTATTCCATCAAAATCCTTGAGGAGAACACAGGCAGCAACCTCTTCGACCTCAGCCGCAGCAACTTCTTCCTAGGAACATTGCCAAAGACGAGGGAAGCAAGGGCAAAAATGAGCTATTGGGACTTCATCAAGATCAAAAGCTTTTGCACAGCAAAGGAAACAGTTAACAAAACAAAGACAACTGACAGAATGGGAGAAGATATTTGCAAACGACATATCAGATAAAGGGCTAATATCCAAAATCTATAAAGAGCTTAGCAAATTCAACACCCAAAGAACAAATAATCCAATCAAGAAATGGGCAGAAGACATGAACAGACATTTCTGCAAGGAAGACATCCAGATGGCCAACAGACCCATGAAAAAGTGCTCCACATCACTCGGCATCAGGGAAATACAAATCAAAACCACAACGAGACACTACCTCACACCAGTCAGAATGGCTAAAACTAACAAGTCAGGAAATGACAGATGCTGGCAAGGATGCAGAGAAAGGGGAACCCTCCTACACTGTTGGTGGGAATGCAAGCTGGTGCAACCACTCGGGAAAACAGCATGGAGGTTCCTCAGAAAGTTGAAAATAGAGCTACCCTATGACCCAGCAATTGCACTACTGGGTATTTACCCTAAAGATACAAGTGTAGTGATCCGAAGGGGCACGTGCACCCGAATGTTTATAGCAGCAATGTCCACAATAGCCAAACTATGGAAAGAACCTAGATGTCCATCAACAGATGAATGGATAAAGAAGACGTGGTATATATGTCACCTTTTAAAATAAATACAACTTTAAATTTATGTCTTTTTGGGGAGTGAATTATTCTATTTATTCTACATGTTTCCTTCCTTAACAGTGAGGTAAAATTGGTCCATAACACTGTATTAGTGTCAGGTGTACACCGTAATAATTCACTTTGCATACACTGCAGAGTGATCACCCTGGTAAGTCTGGCCACCTCCAGTCACCATACAGTTAACCCCTTCACCCATTTTGTCCGCAAAGCTCCTCTACAAAGCAGCTTGTCCTGTAGCATTGACTAGCATTGGAAAAATGGGAACACCATGTAGAGATACTCATTCTGGTGCTTGACACTCACGGAACAGATCTAGAACCCAGATGGAAGAGGAAGCCAAGAGATTTCCCTGCTTCTCCACACATTTCAGAGCTGCAGAAAGAGAACATTGCTCCCAAGTTGTCACTTATGGCTACACCCCAACAGAAATCATGGTTGGAACTTCTGGTACTAAGTCACCATGCTCCCCAGACGAGTTACACTTAAAAAGCCATCTCTTTTCCTTACCCGTCACACCGTGGAGATGTCAGTTCCATTTTGTCCAGAACTTAAAATCGCTGGGAGACTTAACGACCCCTCTTTGGAACGGTTGGCTTAGGTGCCGTGTTTTCCGGGGCTGCCCTCTGGCCTCACTCTCGTCTGCTGACTTCATTTCCCTCCCCCTGCATGGAGCGAGTGCGGGTGTGCCCACTGCCCGGTTCCAGCTGTTTCTCCCTGCTCCACTGCAGGTACCGCCTGGCCGGTTTGCCGGGAGAACACCAGCAGCGCAACATCACCAGCCCGGAGGTCAACTACTGCCTGGTGACAGAGCTGATCATCTGGACACAGTACGAGATCCAGGTGGCCGCCTACAATGGGGCGGGCCTGGGCGTCTTCAGCAGGGCAGTGACTGAATACACCCTCCAGGGAGGTAAGCTGGCTTTCCCGCACGGTTGCCGGTCTTTGCTGGGGAGCAGGACGCGCCGAATTTGCCCGCAGCGTGTTAGAAATAAAAGTAAAGGGCCTGCGCCTCTCAGGGTCAGTGAGAAAGGAATCACGTCACCCAGTCTCTGCTCCGACACTGGAGCAGTACTAGAGAAGGGACACAGATGACATTCTAGCTGCTTGCTTCTGGGTAGTAAGGCCGGGAGGGGTCTCCACACACCCATCAGCTGTCCATGTGCTCCCTGAAAGATTCATGCAGTCGCCAGTTTCTAAATGGAACAGCGCTACGTTTCACAGTAAAGCTGGCCGTGGAGTCCCAGGCGATACTGTGGACATTCTCCAAAGAGAGGGATTATTTAGAATTTTGTTTTTAGTAGTGTACTGTGATTATTGGTAAAGGAATTTGCAACTTGGTGCCTTTTTTTTTTTTTTTTCAGTTATACAAGCCAAACAATTTACTAAATTGGTAAAAACCCCTCCTGGCGCCCACCCTTCCCCAAAATGGCCAGGCAGAATGACATAAAGCCAGTGGGTCCTACCTTCATAGGCTCTGCCCCAACCCCATCATTTTAAGGCTGATCCCCGCACCACATTCTGGAGGACCTGGGTCTCAGCCGCAGGAAGGCTGGTGTTCAGAAACATTTCACTCTTGGTTCACCCGGCAGAAATGGATGGACCCTGTCTTGGAGCAGCTGTGTGTGCCCTCAGCACCCCGATCCCGGTCGCGGGAAGCAGTTCCCCCACAAAATCAACAACTCCTTTCATTTGGTACTTCTAGCCGCTGCTGACTCGCAGGTGTGAGTTTATTTGCTTCGGCATTTTTATTGCCACCAAGCCTTGACCTTTGTCAAATGATAAGGTTTCTAACTGCCCCCTTCTCTCCCCAAATCATGCCAGAGACCTAATGTTCCTTGATATTACATACTGTTATCATCACCCCATATCGATTAGCTGTCCGTCATCATCCGTAAGTCCATAAAGCCTCCTTTATAAATGAAGCACAGTCATTTCTGCTTCCACAGGGAAATATGTCACTGGCAGGAATAGTTAAAATGCAAGACAGCCAGGGAGGACCCGCTCATCCGCACGTGAGGCTTGATTACTCATGGGAAAATGGAGACAGCCGAGCACCTGGACAATTAATGTTTGCTTTAATTCGTCTACTTAATAACAATAAATTTGGAAATACTTAAAGTAATGAATATTGCTATTAACAATCCCCTATTGCTGTTAACGATGACTGCTTCATTTTGGTACTGGGATGTCTGAGTCCTGTGCTGGGCACAGGGAAGCACAGCTCCATCTCACTGAGAAGGGCTTGTGCCTTAGAGTTTGGCTTTGGCTCCGTTGGCACTGGGGAGCCATTGAAGGTTGAGAGCAGTGAGCGACAGGAGCAAAATGCCATATGAGGAGAATGAACCTGTTGGCAGCTGTGCAGGGGAACGGAGGCCACAGCAGCCCAGTGGCCACAGCAACTCCAGGCCCAAGGGCAGTGATGTGGCCATGAATGGATGGGTTCCTACAGCTCTGACACAGGCTGTGAGAAGGGCGGGCTGGTATGTTTCTGGTCTGAAACACCAGGGCGCAGGCCTAGGCAGAGGTGGCAGGGGGCAGGCTCCCACCTCTGGGTCGGATGATGGAGAGACTGACCGAGGATGCTTCTGCTAGGTGCGAGGATTTGCTTTCCTCCGCTAGGTGACAAATGGCTTCTTTTAGTTCTCTGCCCGAGTATGGTTCATACCGTCGTTCTTTTTTTAAACTCTTGATGAGCTGACATCCCTCGATGATGCCCTGGGTGTAATATCCCCATCCGTATCTCAGCTTTGCAGCTGGGTTGTCTTCCTTTGTCTGGGCGTTGGAGGGCTGGTGTTGGAGCCCCGAGCCTGGAGCCCCTGCAGGTCTCGGGGCACCCAGAGGACGTTTACATAATTCACATCTTCCTTCCTGCGGGCGTTGCTGCTTCTGGCGTGGCCACAGGAAACATGGGCGTCTTTATCCTCCCTCTGGGGGGACACAGTCCTCTCCTTTACCCGTGTTTTAGACTCTTCCTATGTGCTCACATGCCTGTAATATCCTGGGGGAAAGGACCCTGTGCTTCTTGAATGCAGTGGGTCCTTTCCTGCTGTTCCAGACGCTGCTGTACACTTCCTCCTCTACCTGTCCCTTGGTCACCTGATAGAGCTTCTCAGGCTTGTGACAGCCTCTGACCCTTCACCAGGAAGCGCCATCCACCCTGGCCCTCCTCTGAGGGCCACACCTGAGCCCCAGGGCAAATCAGGGCAGAGATGCTTGTGGAGCACAGCTTCGGGATCCTGTCCCTTGGGTGTGGCTCTGGCACTTGACTTGCATCAGGAGGGGTACCCGTGCAGGGAGATGGCCTGCCCCAGCATGCCATGCGCTCCCGCCGTGCCAGTCCAGTCCTGCTCGTCAGGAGAGTCCTGGTCAGCCACCTCACAGCTTGTAAATTGTGTCCCTCATCAGTGTTCCCACCCAAGACAGGCCACATGTAAGAGAGGATTTAGACGCGCAGATGGAAGAACCGGGGAGTGGAGGCGGGGGACCTGGTCTGGAGCAGGGGCAGAATAAACCAGATAAAAAAGATCCGATTAAAAGGTGAGGCATTAGGAAGAAAAATGGCAACAACGGGGGCCATGAATAATTTACGGAGATAATGATGGAAAGCCCGGGTTTGTGAGCTGTCTTCCCACACACAAGCTCGCTCACATCTGTCCAGAAACAGCCCTTTCTGGCTAGCCCATCAAGGCCTGACTCCACAGTTACTACTTATCTGCCTTCTAGAAGCACATTGCCTCTGTGAGCCGCAGGTTCCCCGTTGTAAAATTATACCCTGGAAGAGTGTGTGCCCTGGCTGCCTCACGGGCGGGTGTGAGAGAAGACACAGGCAAGGCCTTGAAAGCCCTGAGCACCTACACAAATACCCAGTGGCTGCTGTTTGTCCCCGTTCCTCCTCCCAGGGCAATGCCCGGCATCTGCTTCGTATTTGAATATCTCTGCAGTGACTGTTGTACTGAGAGAAATGGGGTCAATCTCTCTGCCGATAGGGAAATCTCAAGGGGTGTGAGCACCTAGTGCGTGCCCAGTGTCACATGATGGGCCACAGCCCTGAGAGTGGGGTAGACACCAGACATGCTGTCCAATCTGGGGCAGCCTTGCCTGGGAGGGGAGACTAACATTTGTGATGAAAGAGCAAGACCTACCCACGAAACCAGCCTCGCTCGGGTGTGGTCGCTTCCCGTCTGTCCAAAAGATCAGTGTGACAAGTGTGCTGCCCAGACTTGCCCGTCGAGAGACTCAGAGGAACCTGCCATCAACATGGAAAGGGGCTTTATTGGGATCTACGTGGTGGGACTACAGCACAGGAGTTAGGGTTCCACTGTCCGTAGTGGTTGGGAATGGAGTCCAGCTGCAGGAAACAGACCCAGAGTAACAGCTGAAACACAACGGAGGGGTGTTTTTATTTTCTCCCATCACAAGTGGGCCTTGGGCTGCGCAGGGTCTTACTGGCAGCTCCATGGTCCCCAGACAGTCGGGCTCCTTCTTTTTGCTTTGCCATCTTTAGTGTTTGCCTTGTGGCTGCAAGCTGGCTACTGGGATACCAGCTACCACGCCCACATTCTAGAAGGAGGAAGGCACAGTGTTACCCTATGCAGCCAGCTATGCAAGTCTGCTCCTCTTGCAAGAACTTTCTTAGAAGTTCCCTCTGCTGCTGACTATGCATACAATTCATGGGCTGTCTCTGTGCAGAAAAGCCTAGAAAGGTGCTCGTTTGGCTGGATACATTTCTGCCAGTTGGTAAGAAAGGAAGGGGGGACAGACAGTGGAGGGCAGCTACCAGTTTCTGCCTCACTTTCTACAGCGACTCCTGCTGAGGAGTGACACGCAGAGGATATGTAATTTCTAGACATAAAATTGTGTGACCTCCTGTCTCACAGCCCGCTGCATGTAGAGGGCCTCAGGATCCTTGGAATCACCCACATAAGAATTAGCAGACACCAGCCACATGGCTCCTCGAGCCCTTGGCATTGGGGTCTCAGCTCATGGTCCATTTGGGCACCAGCTCAACAAGCTTGTGGACACTGGGGGCCCCTCTCCATGGGCTTAGGGTGCCCCATGACTGTTAGTGCCTCGTGTTGACAAAGCCTATAGGACTGAGCTGGCCCTTGCAGCTGGAAGGAGAATAATTTCAATGCCTGTATATTAGAGGGGAAGAGAATTACTCATAAAATTAATTATTTGTTCAGCCTAATTTGGAAAATTATTGGAACATATATGCACATAATTCTGGAGTCTGTCAGGACACCCTGGGAACAGCAGGAAGCACTCAGGCTTCTGGAAAAATAAAGCTTCTGTCCAGCCCGCCTGATTTTTGTCCTCCTCCCTTCAGCCAAGCGGCAAACCTGATCCATCAGGGGAAATGAGATGTAATTTATCCTGACTTTAATAAGCTCTTTGGATTTCGCTCCTCTGGAGAAAGCATCGGAACGCCAGAGAGAGCTGGTGTGGATCCCGCCACCATGAGACGGTGTGTGACATAGTGGCTGGTCATTCTCAAAGAGAACTCAGGAATGTCCCAGCCTCGGCCTGGGAAACAGAGCCACGCACGCGCAGGTGGCCCTTGCTGGCACCCCTGCAGACACGGAGCGGCGGACAAGCATTGGCCCCAGGGGGGCGGGGGAGGCGCCTGCCTGCTGCTGGGCACACAGGTTGGCTCTTGAGTGCATTTACTGCACAGAAGCTCCCGAAAGAGGATCAACAAGTCATCTGTGCCTGGAGGTCAACACCATGGCCTATCGATCCCTACTATTTGCCTGTCATATGGTCCATTTTTCTTTTTAATCCCATTTATCACTGAGATCTATTAAAAACGTCTGGTTTGTCGACTTGGGTTCTTTGCATTCTTGATGTTGGCAAACATCTTGGACACGCGGGGGTTCTTTTTTTTTTAGATTTTATTGGAGGGGTTCT